AGTTTTATTTTTCTTATTCTTCTTCTTCTTATATTTTCCTATATCATGCAATAATCTAAACACAATTTGTATATACAAGTATAATATGTTATATGTGCATATAAGTAGTAATATAATATACATATATAATATGTGTACATGGTTATATATATACATTAAATGATATTTATATTTTTAGATTTTCATATTATAAATTTATATTAAACTGTATACAATGTATATATATGTATATTGTGTGTTTTTCAATTTAATTTAGTAGTAATATTGATATACATAATTTACTATATATATAAGGTATATAATATATAAAGATAACATTTACTTGCATTATTATATTGTGGTGTATATTATATTATTTGTGGTGTATATTATTGAACATTTATAGACACCACATATAATAATAATAAAAAAAAAGAAAAGATTATTTAGGAAGAAAAAAAAAAATATGCGACAATCATGTAAAATATTTTTTTTTTCTTTGCGTTTTTTATTTTTTCATTTTCTATTTGTTTTGTTTTGCTTCTTTTTTCTTATAATTTCGTTTTTATAAATATAATAATATTATATATGCATGGAAATAACACAAAAATAACGGCATATATGAATGAAATAATAATAATAATATAAAATACAAAAATATATAAAAATGTTATAATAAAAAAAAAAATAGCAAAAGAAGAAAAAAAATTGTCTGCTTTTACTTCTTGTTATAAAAATTAAATTTTTTTTTAATACTTTGTAGAAATTTATACATTTTTACGAAAAAAAAAAACATATGAACATATTATATGTGCTCATATGAATATATATACATATATATGTATATTTTCTGTACGTTCATAAATATGGAGATATGCACAATCACATATTATTATTTTATATTTACATATTCTTACATACATACATATATACATATATAAATTTTATACTATTTAGTCGGGTTTTTTATTATTATTATTGTTTTTAAATATGCCATTGCATGTAGCGAGTATATATATATACGTATTAGCATATAAGGAAGATATATTAGTGTTTACGTATGTATATTATTTAAAATACAATATACAAAAACTTATATATTCGAATATATATGAATGTTAAATAAAAAAAAATTGTTATACGATGAACAAAAAATAGCAGCTAACAAGAAAAGAATAATAAAAAAATTATAAAAACAAACATAATATACGATATAAAAAAAAAAACGTTGATGACGACGATGACGTAGACGTTAACAATAATATATTTACATGTACATATTGATATTAATATGTACGTATTATTATTATTATTATATTTTGATATATAATTATAAAATATGTATGTATGTACTAATATACCGTTATTATTATTATATTTTATTATATTTTTTTTTCTGCTTCTTCTTCTACTTCTTTTGACTTATTTCATATTAATATGTACATACATATAGACACTTACATATGTAGGAATATATGTATATAAAAAATATTATAAACATAATAATTGTATGTAAGGTCAACATTAATGTTCTTGAGTCTGGTCGTGAATTTGTTGATTTTTATAAAAAAAAAATTATTTTTTTTTTTGCTTATATTTAATTTTTTCTTGTTTTGATTTTGTTTGAATTTTTTTTTTCAGTATTTTTATAATGAGAAATAAAAAAATGTTTATATACATATATACAGATATGCATATGATATAAGAAGATATGTTTACATTTATAAGAACATTATTTTATACTCATTGCACATTTATATGTACATACATACATGCAATTTATTGTAATTGATTTACATTATACATATATGTATGTATAACATAATATTGTGTATAATATGTTAACAAAATGTACACATATTATTATACATTAAGATAATAATATGTACACATGTCTATATATACATGTACATATTATTATATTCGAATATCTTATACGTATATATATATAATATAAATTTAATATGTGAATATGTTACATAAATATATATATGTACATACACATTATGTGCACATGTAAATATATTGTGAATTTTTTTTAAGAAAAAAAAAAAAAGCATAGCTACTAATTTTTTTTTTTGTTTTGTATTTAAAATTATAATGGAAGAGGGGTAGGCGAGACATGAAATGACAAGAGGGGAGAACTAAAAGGAATGAATATACGGTTTTCGTTTTGTTTATAAATTTTTTTTTCTACTTTTCCGTTTTGGTTTTTTCTTTATTTTTCTCTTACATTTTTTTTATTTTCAGTTTTCAATTTTCTTCTTCTTCTTTTAGTTGTTGTTGTTGTCTTTATAATGTGCATATAAATTTTATAACATGGTACTTATTATGCATACCCATATATTATATACCCATATGGATATATGTATGTATGTATGTAGATATGTTGTACTTTTATGCATATTTATGAAGAATATTATATTTTATATTTTTTTTTTCTGTGCCTTTCGTTTATATAGTTTGGTGCTACTGTTGGTATCGTTTATTATTGTTGTTTTTTTTTTATTGTTTGTAGTTGTTATAATTTTTATTATTATTTATTATTATTATTATAGTGTCTCTTGTGCAAAAGAAGTATAGAGAAGAAAAAAAAAACAATAAATGAGACAAACAAAACATTGTGCTGTTTCTTTTTTTTCTCACCTGAATGTGTAGTTTTCCTTATATTTAATATATGCGTTGTTTTGTTGCTGTTTTCTATTTTTGTTATTGTTATATTTTTTTTATAAACCATATTTTATAATATTCATTTGAACATTGCATATACCTACATACATATATATGAAGTTCATTTATGAAAGTTCTACTTTGGTGCAATATGATGTATAGGGGTACATACATATGTACACGTACATATGATATGTTTGTACACATACGAGTAGTAGTTGTTGTGATATGTGAGAATGTCATTTATATATTTGTTGTATTTAAAATAATATTCCTTGTTTTTTGCATTTTTCTATTCCAGTTTTTTTCCCATTTTTGTTTATTTTTTTTTGTGATGCATTTTTATTTTTTTGTTTTAGTGAAATTTACACTGCTTTTCTTAATGCATCAATCAACTTTTAGTCTAGATGATTATAAGGATATGAATAATGTAGACTGATTTTAATATATGTACATAGTAGATGTCTGTATGCATATAATATGGAATGTTGTCATATATAATATATCTATATAAATTGTACATGTATGTGCATGATGTCTCATATATGTGCTCTTATATTGTAGACGTACCTAAATATTATTTGTTTTTATTATTCTTGCATATTATAATCTCTATACAATATTTTATCTACTTATTATTATGTAAGTATGTATGTATGTATATTAAAAATAATATGCAGACAAGTTTAAGTTCAATGTAATTTGTATTTTATATTTTTTTTGTTGTTTTTTTTTCTATTTTTGTCTTGTTTTTTTTTGCATTTTGTTATATTCTCTTTTAGATAAGACACTAATTATATGTGCATATTTTTTGAGTGCACTTATTATATATTCATAGACATGTTCATAAAACATATACACATAATACATATATATATGCATGCAATTATGAAGGTTATGTATACATTTTATATAATATTTATATATATATGTAAAAAGTATATTATAATTTTTATGACATTCAGGGAATATTTTCATTTGTGACTGATATGTGCTGCATTTGTTTTGTTTTTTTTTGTTTTTAGTTCTCATTTTATCTTTAATTGGGGATAAATTTTGATTTTTTGCTGATTTTTTTTTATTAATATATTATTTATTAGAAAATATAGACGTTTTTATTTAGTTTTAGAAAATATAAAAGGAGGTAGCTACACATACTGTATAAACTTTAAATCATGTTATATTTGTGGATTGTCTATATATATTTTGAAATAAAATAATAATTATAATAATAAATAACTAATTGTAAATATTGTATAATAAAGAAAAATATATATAAACACGTTATACGAGTATTAAAATTTAAATAAATAAAGCAGAAAAAGCTGAAAATTCATAATATTTCATTTATTAATTTAAAGTTTTTAAAAATATTATTGGTTATTTGACTACAATGAGTAGTAAATCTTGATATAGATGAAATCTTTTTTAAACTTTTATACAATTAATAGTTATAGATTAAGATGATTTGTATACGAATTACGTATGTGAATCTTAAAGTAGTCATAATTGCTTTTTTTTAGAAAATTAATAAATAAAATACAAGCGTTTTTTATCTGAGTGTATGCAATGTTTATTTTGTTATTACAATTTTATTTTTCATTTAAATGAATTTTAAATTGTAAGTTTTCAACTTTACACCATTAGTCGTAAATGTATGAAAATTATAGTTTAATTTAATTTTTTCAGCACCCATAAATATGCAATTAATTTTAAAAAAAAAATCCCCATAAATATGCAATATATGGAATAATATTGAATTATTAGAATACCTAGTTCTTAATTACAACCATGAACTGAAATAACGTGTGAAATAATGTGTTAATTAAACCTCGTTATTTTTATATTTTCTATAATTTGATAGGTAGCTTTTTAACATAAAATTTTAATTTTATTTATAAAAATCTCGATTAAATTAAATTTCAAATAACTTAGACTTAAAAATGAAGTATAATTAAATGTAAAAATTTTAAAATCTTGTGGAGTAAACGCTGTCACAGAAATGAATTTTGAAATTCATTTACGAGAGATATTAATTGAATACGAGACATTTTAATTGAATTTTTAACAGTTACATAACAGCATTTAAGAACTTCTAAAACAAGTTCTAGAAGACTCTTTAGACTATAAATCTAGGAAACTATCTTGCTAGTGATTTTCTAACAGAATTGGATGTTTAATTTGAGAAATGTTTTCAATTTTTCTTCCACCTTTCTTCCACCATTACATTTGCTGAAATATTGTGATTATGCATTAGACATTAATATTGTTTGTAAACCTAATATACTTAACTTATAAATACTAGAATTTCACTTAATTTTAATTTATTTCTCTTATATTTTTATTTACAGATTCTTACGATATTTAATATGTAACACGCTATCACTTTCAAGCATCATTGAAATCTAAAAAAAAAAGAAATCAAACTGTAAAAAAATTGAAGAGAAAAGATTGTTCTATTTATAAAATAAGAAAAAAACATAAAAAATTTTAAACATGAGTTTCCCAGCACATTGGGGTGTCGGGCGTATGCCTGTTCCACCAACAAGTGATATATTGGCAACTATAAGTATGTTCGAACAACAAATAAAGTCTGAGCCAATGGCATTTTATGCACCACCGCCACCAAATATGGTACAACAAGTAAGACCACCAGATCCACAAATAACGACAGTAGCTGCAACACCACAACAACAAGCAGTACAACAACAGACAGCACAACAACAAGCAGCAGCTGCAGCAGCGGCAGCAGCACAGCAACAGGCAGCAGCAGCAGCACAACAACAGCATTCAACTACAGCAGCTGGCCATCAGCAAGGACAAGCAGGTCAACAGGCGACATCACAAACGGCACAAACAAATCAACATCAACAGTCGGTAATTACAATGATCGATAATAAAAATAATGTCATCCACCCACAAATACTGATCGTAAGAGTATGAACGCTAAAAATACTTGGAATTAATTTATGATTTTTCTTTGGATCTTTTTTTAATGTTTCAGAATGCTGCCACTTCAGGAATAGATATACGTGAAGTACGTGAATGGAGGGCAAGAATAAACGATGTACAAGATCCACAACAATCTGATGAGGTTAGTTATATTTTTCTGTTAATTTCATATTTTAGAAAACAAAATCAAAGATTTAATTGTAAGTGTGACCAAAATAGAATTTTAAGTTATTGATTTATAGATTTAAATGAGCCTTAATGTTTCTGCAATAACTCTTCAAATTTTATTTTCAAAAATGAATGTCAAATATGTTGTAAACTAAGTAAGATTTTTTATGAAAATCTTCAAATATACATGCCAAAGAGTTTAAAACAGGAGCATTCAGTAGAATAAAGCAAGCCAATTTAAAAAAAATAACTTGTTAATTTCCAGTCAACTTCACAACATTGCACTTATATATTAGTATTTTTAAATTTTAATTTTGCTGTAACAGTTTATATAAATTGCTCCGTAAAGTATGCAATTTTTATACTGGCTTATATATATAAAGCATATTTAATTCGTCTCCACTTGCGCCTTGAAGGAAATATTTGCAACTTCGCAAGATATGTAAATTTTTGTTTAGAAACAATTTCTAATTCGATCTTTATATGTCTGTCCATCCATCTGCTGCTGAAATGCTTTGAAATTTTGCACCTATACATATTTTTATTGCACGCTGACAGGTGTTGAAAATGAGCCCCGCTCGTACTTTACGTACAGTTCGACAACTTTTTTTTTAATATTGAATTAGCCGCCTTCTTTAAGTTAACTTAAAGAAGGCGGATACTTCTGCAAAAGACTATTGTGCTACCTTATCTTATATTATGTTTAACAAATTTTAGTCAATAATTCTTATGAATTAACTAGCCATAAATATTATATCAACTATGTTAAATAATTTTCGGTTCATTTTAACTAAATAGGCTTATTTTCAGACTAATAGTTATAGAATTGATAATCGGTTCATTAATCCATTTTTCTAAGTTATCCATTTTTCTATTGATCGATTTCTCTTATAATGTACTCCTATAATATTTCTGAAATATTTTTGTAATTCTGTTTCATCCTATATTGAATATAATAAGGGAGGTATTGTGATGGGCACCAAATTTGACATGTAAATTTTCTTTTAAAATCTGCGTTTTTCTGTGATAGAGAAAAGTAAATAAACTGTGTTACTGTCGGCCTATTTTATTATTTATCCGTATATTTGTCCGAAGTGCCACTGTAGCTTTGATTAGCGCCGAATTAAAAAATTTGGTAATTTTTCAAACAACAACAATAATTCATTTGAATTTAGGTCCGATATTAAATTTTTTACTACATCTTAGGATGATATAGTAACGTAGAAAAGAATTCATAACGTCATGAGTCCTAACATTTCGAATTTTCTTAGTAATAAATACTAAAATATAGCTGAAAGAAAATTAATTTTGAATTTCGTTCCGAACAATTTCGAATGGGTTGAATTTTACGATTTCTTTTTTTTTTTATGGGAAATTGTTGAAATAAGAATGAAATTGCTTTAAGCTTAATTCATATTTTGATATTCTGTGATGTTAATCTAATAAAAAAGTTTTAAGTCTAAAAATTGAAAAATTTTTTTAATGTTACATAAAATGATCAAATTGTTATAGATTCCAATGTTCAAGTTTCTACAAAATTTACTTTACAAACTGCTTTAAACGAAACCCCTTATAATATTGCACTACAATTTTTTCTTTTTCATCCATATTATATTACCCTTATTGTTTATTTTTTTTATTTAAAGTAATTTTTTTTTTATTTTCCTTTAGCACCCTTTTTGTGCAGTACTTTTTATTATAATTTTTTTAATAAATTGTTATTGTTTCCTCTTATAATATAATGTATAGCTACATTATATTATTCATATGTAATATACTTACACACAAGTGTTTATTGTGTTATCGCACCTTAATCAAACAAAACGCATATTATATATATATATATATATCTCATTCATGTATATTGCCAAACATTAAATATATTCATATAAGTTACATATCTCAAGGCTTAATAAACTCAAGGTCAGTTAGTTATAAAGTGTAAAAAAAAGAAAAGAAAAATAAGAAATAAATAAAATAGAAAAATTCCATTATCGCACCCTTTTTTTTTTTTTAAAGAAAACATAATTGAATGAAAATCAAAAACAACCCAAGCTCAACAACATTTTTTTTTTAAATACAAAAGAACAACAAACAACATAAGAAAGAATCATGAAATATTCAAGAAAGTAAAAAAAAAAATAAGAGAAAAAAAAGGAAAATGTAAACATAAACAAAAATTTTACACGCATACAAGTTGTGTTTTATGCATAAAAAACAGAAATTAAAACAACAACAACAATAACATAAATGTGTGCGTAAAATTTAACTAGTAGGTACGGAAATCGATTTCCTTGATTTTTTGAAAAAGAAAAACCAAGGAAATGAAAAAAGTGTTGAAGTAATTTTTAGTAAATACTTTGATCATCCTCTGGCAATCCTAAAATTACATTATGGGAAAAAAATTTCATATTTTTTTTCCTTGTTGTTTTTTTTTTTGCCATTTTGTTGTGAATTTTTTTGTTCTTTTTAAAAGCTCCTCCTACATAATGCAAATTTCAAAGCCAAAGCATCATTTTTCGTAAATTTTCTTTTTTTTTCTTCTGACTTTTTATGATTTTTATTATTTTTTCTATATATACATGTAATATGTTTATGCTTTCCTTTATTTTTTTTTTGTTTAATAATAATTTCATTTTTATTTTTTTTTTTCCTGTGTTACTTATTTTATTGTATAATGTAATGAAACATTTACTACCGTACAACCAACAACAACAACATAGCAATACAAAAAAGAACTATAACAGCAAATAAGTAACAACAAAATATTTCATGTATATACACAATATTTTATATAATATTTACATATTGTGTGTGTGTATATGAATCGAAAATAGAAAATCATTTTCCACGTATATTATTATACATTCACAACATTAAATAAACATCCATACATTTTCAAAATTCTGTAATAGAATACACACATATATGAAAAGTAAGAAAAAGAGTGAAAATTAACTTTTAGGGTAAAAGGAAGATTACTGTGTCCTAAAAATTAATTTATTTAATATGTTGAAAGGAGACAGAAATATATGTAACGCATATTTTATGTATACACGTATTACTTATACCTATACTATTATAATATTTAATATTACTGTAAATTCGCACGTATACTATATACATATACAGAAAAATAATTTATACACGTATACAATGAAAATCACACCAACCTTTTTCTATAATATTCTTTATAATAAACGGTATATATATACAATAATTAAATATTCAACAAAATGAATATGAAAATTTACACAAATTATACTTATACATATGTATACATGAAAAATAAATACATGATATATAATAACATAATATATATATATAAATAAACTTAACACATACCAGCAAAAAATAAAAATTATAATGAAAAAGAAAGAAATTAAATCATACATATATATATATAGAAAATAGAAAATTCAGCTATATTATAGACAGTAAGCTACAAACAAAACATACTTGTATGATTTCTTTATACATTATAGTATATACACACATTTATAAAATAACATTAACTTCAAAGTATTTTTTACTGAACGGTTATGAACAGCTAAAACGCGCACACACAATTTAATATACACATTAATAAATTACAATAAACCAGGCAATATAACAACATACACCTATACTATTCATTATTTTTCACAATTCAAATGGGATATATGAATAACTTACACATCTATACACATAATATGTATGTTTGTGTATGTACATATATACGCGTAGTTTTAATCTCATATACACACAGTATTTTGTGTAATATTGTAAAGAAATTATTATGGTGTCAAAGTAATGTAGACAATTTAAACGCAAAAAAAAAGAAAAAAAAAAAACAAAAAATATGAAACAGGAGAAGAAAAAATGAAAGGGAATAAAATAAGTACACAGAAAAAAAAACAACAACAAAATCACAAAAATATTACAAGAAAGGAAAAAAAAAACGGATTTTCCTCTATTTTTTATTTTATTTTTTTCTGATTTTTCATTCTGTTTTCCTTTTTTTGTTTTTGTTTTTCGTATTTACTTTACAATTTTAAATTTTTTATTGTTTTTGTTGCTTTTGGTTTTTTCTCAATGTTTAAAACATTCCTTTTTTTTTTAATTTGTATATTCGTCATACACACACAAACGTGTATATACAATTTTATTTCTCATATCTTTATATCTCTTTCTAATTTACCATGAAAATTTTTGCTGCTGCTCTTGTACATTTTGTATACCACTATAATATAGGAACAGAGAAAAACTATACACAAAATATGAAAACATAAAAAAGAAAACAATTAAAAAAAAAAAGAATAAAAAAAAAATAAATTTATATATATATATGTGTATGCATAGCAAAATATAAAATAAAAAAAAAAATAGGGAAAAATTAATAAAGAAAAATAGCAAAACAAAACGAAGAAAAAAAAACAGATAATTTTTTTTTTTTTTTTACTTTGAATGAAACAAAATGGAATTTTCAATATAAAATGAAACTGGTTGAAAAAAAAAACTGTATTTTTTTGCTTAAAATGGCGCATGCGCCATTTAGAAAAAAAATTTTAGATTTTTTTTTATTTTTACGTTTTTTTTTTTTTGGTTTGTTATTATTTTTATAATTTTTATTTTTTTTTTCTTTCGTATTATATTATTTTCGTTTCGTTTTTTTTTTCTTATTCGAAAAATTTTTCTATCCCGTTTTTCCATACAAAAATATTTTTCAATCGAACAACCATGTGAACAAAAACAAGAAGTGAAAAATTTTTATTTGGGTTTTTCTCTGATTCTATATTATACAAGTATAATTATAGTTGTATTAACAAAATAAATATATATATATATATATATATACCAAAATATATATTTAAAAATTAATATATAATTATTTATAATATATTTAAAATTATTAGAAAAAAAAAGAAATGAAAATGTTAAAATATGTTTATATAAAACTGAAACAAAAAAAACAAATATTAAAAATTAATTTTA